AACACGGAAAGCACAAGCAAGAGGAGAAAGGAAGCTTTGAGAACAGACGGAGGAAAATTTATGCATCCAATTATTTTCTATTTACCTGGAAAGAGAAGTCGCAGATGAAAAGTGCTTCAGAGGACGACAAACCTTTTTTTGGTCGAGCTAATACAGACAGTCGTATCTACAGTAGAAACGAGACAGACAGAACCCACAGGGAGAAGCACCTCCGCCCGCTCCCTCCGTCCACATTTAGTTATTTACATTTTATTTTTTTAGTAGTGTTCTTCTTCATTATTCTATGTGTGGTGTGTTCAGAGACTTCTAATGTACACAAAAGGCCATGAGCTCCTCATGCCACGTCTGTCCATGTCCCTCCAAACTCTTCTGAGGTGGTTATGGGGAGGAGGAGGAGGAGGAAGAAGAAGAGGAAGGGCCGGGTAATATGTTACTGGGTCGGTGAAACAGAAAGAAGGGGAAATGAAAGTGAAGGCAGTTGTCCTTCAGTGGTATCATGTGTCTGGAAGCTGATTGATGTCAGTCAAGTTGGTGTCATTGAGGATTACTTTGATTCGATCCAAGGAGTCCGCCTGTCGTATCCGCTCCAGCTGTACCTGAGGACACGGACAAACGGCGATTAATTCTCTGACACGGGAGGATTTCTCACACAGCACTTTAATGCTTTAATAATCAAATATCATTTGAAGGGAGTTGCAGAAAAGTTGCAGAAAAATATCCCCCTCTTCATTTCTTTCTTCTTTCTAATTTTAGTACTTTTTAATTTTGTTTTCTTTATTATATGTTATTTTTGTACAAGGTTTATTAGTCTTGTGACCCTTTATTCACATATAAATGGTTCATGTGTTTATTTTATAAGAGTTAGTACCTTGCATAGCCTCTCAGATCTCAGAACATAAATTAATGCAATTCTGTGAAGGTCTTTGGTGTGGATCATTTATAAACAAGTAATCCCTTTGTGGTGGAGCTTGATGTATTTAGTTACATCCTTTTATTGGACAGGACAGAGGATGCAACAGACAGGACAGAGGGGAGAGAGAGATGGTCTAAGGTAGACTTGCACTGAGGCCTACAGAAGTGCTGCAAGTTGTCATTTTTAAACATGAACAGCAGCTAATGTGAAATAATGTGTTTATTAAAGATTAAAAAACTCTATTTAAGCCTTTAAAATGTAACTGACAAATCAAATCAAAAGAAGAGTAAAGTAGCTGGTGAGTGTATATTTGAGTAAACTCAATATTTTGTGTCTTTGAGTTATGTGTTGTCCAAAGTGTTACAAAGTCACCAGTTCTCCTATAGTTTGCTGTTAAATTGACAGTGACGTCACTAAAACATGTTTTTTCCCCTCTTAGTTTTACTGAAACAAAAAATATTTGCATTGTTAAAACTAACAGATGAAGACTGTGACTGAAGCTTGTGTTTGTTTTTTTTTAATAAAAATGATAAAAAATGACTAAAACAGCTCGGTTGCTTGAGGGTTAAATAAATAACACAGTGACTCTTTCCATTTCTTTGCATGTAATCTTAAAACCCGGTTAAAAGCAGCTGTGTCCCTTCTCCTTCATAATGCAAAGTCATTTTATGGTTTTACACCTCGGCCATCTAAAGCTTTGCCCTGCATGTGTTTTATTTATTTTTACTTTTAGTTTTTCCATCCCTCCTGTAGCGCCCTTAAACATGCTTCTTTTAAATGTTGTGCTACTTTAATAACTCACTTAGCATCTGGCCTGGGACAACAGCTGGAAAGCAAGCATTTGGAATATTTACAGCGGTGTTACAGTTGTGATACTGCAGTGTCTTGTAGCGTGCAATAGACCGCTGGTTACGACCACAGCTACAGTCACTGCTCCCTCAGTTGTGGCTGCACCGGCTCAAGCCTGCACCGCTGTGTTTAGA